GATTCCTAGTAAGTAACTTTTCCCAGTTCCTTGGCTTCTCCATAATGAGCCTAAGTGGAAGATATAAACCTTTGGGAGTTTTGATCACTTGGCTATTCATGGGCCTACTTTCGTTAGACACAGAAATCTCAAACTTGAGGACTCCAACAAATATATATATATTTATATAGGAAAAATCTCCCCAAGGCATATTTCTCTCTTTGTGTCAATTTCCAATGCTTAGATCTTGTAGCAGCTTTCTTCGTACATTTGCTGATGATTCTGAAATTCTTTGAACATTACATTTCTAAATTTTTCTTTGTGATAAATCTTGGAATTAGAATAGTTGAAACCATGTTTCAGTAATAAAGATGAAATCTGAGATTTAACACTATAGAATTTTATCTCTTACCCACCTTATGGTCCAATACAAGTTGAGTGGTTTTCCTGGGAAGCTCTTCTCCAGATCATGATGTAGGAACTTAGGCTGCACCCATCTTGTATCCATGCCATCTGGGGCACGGGGCTTCCAGAGTTGCCATGGAAGAGAGAGCTTGGATAATCATGCATGGAGTATAATAACCACACTAGAGGGGTAGACATCACTTCCCACCATATCTTATGAGCCAAAATTCAATCTCTTGGCCTTAACCTCACTGCTAGAGAAGCTTTGAAATGTGGTCTTACTGTGCTAGGAAGGGGAAAGTGAAATGGGATATGGTGGCCGCATAGCATCATTTCTGCCACAGCTCCCTTCATTGGTTTGATTCTTGGCTCACTTGCCATGTTTTAATAGTCTTACCGTTCTCCTGCTCTCAGAGTTCAGCATCTTCAAAGTGTTTACCCTTGTTCTTCATATTTGAGTAAAATCACATTCAGTCTGACTCTAGAATTCATGTTCTTTTCACTTCCTCAGTGGTACAGATTCACCATGAAGGTGCAGAGTGAGGGTGTTCAACAGAATTTCCTTACTCCAGTTCTTACTCTCTCTTCCACCTTGCTGTGAACTTCTATCCTACAGTGACCTTTATCCGATTTGGCGATTGATGATTAGAATGCTATTATATGCCCTTGTCATCACAAGCAAATAAATTTGTTTTCAACTCTTAGACATGCTCCAGTGATTGTGTGGTTGAGAATTTTGAAAATAATGAATTACCTGTAGAGAGAGCTAAGTAGAAGGTAGTTAGTGAAACCTCTCTCTGCCTTGGTGTTATGGAAGCGTTCCTCAGAGAAATGTTACCATCAATAGCCCTGTTTATGTATATTCACAATGCTAGTCGCTGACTTAATGAACTAGATATGAAAGAAGTTTCTGCACCCTGTCAGGTATTTTCAAGTACACAGAATCAAGAATTGTTGTTACTTTGACTATTAACTTTGATTTTTAAAAGGGAATGAGTAGATGTACCATTATTTAGCTTCAAATGTAGAAACATCAGTAGATACACATTTGATTAGTAATTTCTTTTTTTTTAAGATTTTATTTATTTATTTATTCAACAGAGAGAGAGAACTTAAGCAGGGGAAGTGGGAGAGGGAGAAGCAGACTCCCCGCTGAACAGGGAGCCCGATGTAGGGCTCGATCCCAGGACCCTGGGATCATGACCTGAGCTGAAGGCAGACGCTTAACGACTGAACCACCCAGGCGCCTTTGATTAGCAATTTCAATAGAAAAAGTTGTCCAAAGTGCCAGCATCTGCCTCATTTCTGTGTTGTAAAGGTTGACCTTCAGCTCATGCAGGAGACCATGCTGGATGCACGCCTGGGTCTCCCCCTCTGTTGACTGGCTCCAAGGCACCTCCAGCCTTCCTCATTGGCGCATGTTAGACCTGCATCAGATGCAGCTCTCCAAATGATGAGTGCTTCCATACTTCTGTTAAAGCAGTAATATCAAGATTTCCTAACAGGAAAACCTACACTTAGGCAGAACCAGAGAAAGTAAAATGTCAGAGCAGGAAGGGCCCACATCTGGCTCATACATAGTAGAACCTACTTTTGTCCTCCTCTTATTGTTAGGGTGAAATGAGTTAACCTCTTTCTAGTCCCTAGCACAGCGCCTAGGACCTAGTGAGTGTTCAGCACATGGGACTTACCATTTGTCATCATTATTTCTAGTGGCAGAGCCCAAAGAGGAACCCAGATGCCCTAATAGTTGCCTGCTCTTTTCCGAGGCACATAGTTTGCATTCCCCACGTTGTATAGGGAGAAATGTGTTTGGAGAAATTGAATTAAAATAAAAGCAGTGGCAGCCTCATTCTCATTGCTGAGCACGGACTTGGTGCTGAGTTCTGGGCTACGCATGGTGTGTGCTTTCATGTAACCTCCAACATCCCAAGAGATTCAGACTCTATCGCCTTCGTTTGACTCAAGTAAAGGCTGAGCTGGGGAACTGGCCTGTGGTCACAGCACAAATAAGGGGCTGCTTTAGGCTTTAAATCCAACTTTGTCTGACTTCAAAGTCTTTATTGTTAACTTATTTTATTCCAGGGGTTGGCAAACTATGGCCCACAGGCCAAACCGAGCATACCTGGTTTTGCATAGTCCTCAGGCTAAGAATATTTTTTACATTTTTAAATGGTTGAAGAAATTGAAGAAGAAAAAATGTCCTGACACAGGACAATTAGGTGAAATTGAAATCTCAGTGTCCATAAATGAAGTCTTACTGAACACGGCTACGCTCATTTGTTTATATTGCCTGTGTCTGTGTCTAGAATTGAGTAGTCGTGGCAGAGTCCATGTGGCCCGAAAAGCCTAAAATATTCACTATCTGGCCTTTATTCTATACTTTTCCTCAGTGATTATGTTTTTGAGATTCCAGTTATTTAGAACATAATTTTGGGATTTTTATAAGGTCTGTCTCCTCCTGTTACCTGCCTTTTCTGTTTGTTCCATATTAATTAACCTATCAGTCAAATGATGCATAGTGTGTATAAACAGAGTTCACCCTTATAGTATCTATATTTTGTCTTTTTTTTTAAACAGAGTGAGGAATGATTTGTTACTGGAGAACGTCCGAGGCTTTTGATGAAAACCTGTTTGTACTTGCCATGGAGGGTGGCTCTTTGTGGTCTACACGCCCCTCATAGCCATCTACTGAGCTGATTATTTTTAAACCTCTAAGTGTCTTGGATGCAGAAATCACTCTATTTTCTTTCCCTTCTAGTGGTTTGCTGTCTTCTGATTATGTGGAGATCCACTACGAAAATGGGAAGCCACAGCACTCTAAGGTACAGTTAAGAACATATGGAAATCCTGCAGCATAAAGATGCTTGCCCATAGAATTGTTCATCGCATGCTGCATTTTGATGTCTCTCTCAATAAAATGAGCTGTTCTCTTGTACAACAGTGCTATTTTTAAATTTAAAATAAGTTTAGGAGAAACTTATTAAAACTTATAAATGTTCTAGATAGCATTAGAGATTCTGTATATTCAGGTCAATAAAGAAATGTTTATTGTTTTGGTTATACATACAGTATCTTCTGGAAATGAATGATATAAAGAGCTATACAGCTCCATAGCAATACCTTCAAGTAGTAGATCACCAGCTCATGGTCATAGTCTGAATGATGAGCCTAGAATGGCTGTTTAGTCCAAGAGACTTTGGTGCCTGAGAAGGGCAGAGGACAGGTAGGGGAAGGGAGATTCAGGGAACACTGTCCTTAATCTTCACAAGAGTTCTGGGAGATGGATATTATTATTTCTGTAGTGCAAAGGAAGGAAGAAATCGAGGCAAAGGGGGCAGATAAACTTAACCAAGACCACCATGGATTGTCATGGAAAGCTAATTGGGTACTCGATTTCCTTCAGTGGAGATTAACTATTCCTTTAATGGCGTGTCAGTAAGGAGCAAGTGGGTTTAGATGCAAATAAGATTATTTGCGTGTAAGGAAGACAGTGATCTCTACCAGTCACGATGAAAATCCTGGGGATGGCTACATTCAGAGACTGATTTGTGGGAAGTCCACAGAGTACCACTGAACCTAAGCTGTGTCCACGGAGCAGATACCACGGGCACAGGAGAGGAAACAGGGAAACAAAATACAATGGGAAACTTTGGATTTTTTTTCTACGTTGCTAACGAGTATTGGCACAGAAGTGGGCCTTTCCTGTGTGGGCTTGCTGGGTTGTGTACCACAGAGAACTAGGTTTTTTCAGTGTGATAGCTTCTCACCAGATATTTATGGGTGGCCTTCATTGTAAATACTGCTCAGGGGGTTATGGAATTTCTCAGGATTTATAACTGTCCAATTAACAGTGGGCACATTTGTAATTTGATGCGTGTTTTAAGCCTTTGAATTTCATGCCACAGATTAAGAACTTCCAGTTATTATTCTTATTGTTCTGTCAGTTCTTGCCTCAGGCTGCATCTTGGGGGTTGTTGAAGCTCCCGAAAAGTGAATGCTGTGGAAAGCAAGCAGAAATGCTAAATCAAGCACGGGAACGGTGCTTTCTGGCATTTGTACAAACCAAAGCTTCCGTCAGCTGCGCCAGGACCCTGAGCGCTGCGGGTGCTGAATCATGAGTCTGGAGTAGAGAAGATTGCACGAGAACTTTATAGACTTAGCAAAGGAGCCACATTTGCAGGCCACAGTAACCTGAGTCAAACGTCTCACTAACAAGTTCAGTCAGTTTTTTTTTTTTTTTTAGAAGCAGAATAGCTAATTGGCCTCCAGAGGTCATTTGAGGTCCCAGAAGGAGACCTTACCAATAAGGCACATCAAAACTCCTATCAGTTACAACTAGAATTTAAAACAAAGGGTATTTCAGCTGTGGCAAAGGAAGTGTTTATTGCACTTTGTTTTTGTGTTCATTGCTTTTCTCTTATTGATGCCTCATTTTCTCCAAACAGATCGTATACCCAAACTTACTGCTTCCTATATAATGAGTTAATGGTAACAGTCTGTTTTTTATGTGTCTGTATCTATATATACACCCCCCAGAACCAAGATGACATGGTGCACAGTATGTTGAAGCAGAATTTTTTTAACCTAATAACGTTATGAACATTTTAACATGTATTAAATAATCTTCTAAACTTTTATTTCTAAAACTGTGTAATATTCTTTACTATTCATTTGCTATAATTTATTTAAAAATCCCATAGCAATAGACATTAGATTGCTTCCAATCTTTTACTATACAAATAATTTGTAAGGAAAGGCCTTCCTGATACATTTTTTAAAAGATTTTACTTATTTATTTATTTGAGAGAGAGAAAGAGAGTGGGGAGGGGCAGAGGGAGAAGGAGAGAGAGAATCCGAAGCAAACTCCACAGAGCTGATGCAGGGCTCGATCTCATGACCCCGAGATCATGGCCTGAGCTGAAACCAAAGGTGAGACACCCAACCACCTGAGCCACCCGGGCGCCCCTCCTGACGCATTTTGAACCCATCTTTAATAATTGCTTAAGGATTAATTCTGAGAATGGGATTTTCTGGGTCAAAGCATTGGTACCTTTCTTTAAAGTCTTTTGGTACATATTGATAGTTTTTCTTTCTGAAAGTTTATTTAGATCCACACTCTTCCTACCATTACTTTTTTTTTAAAAAACTTTTTTTTTAAAAAACTTTTTTTTTTAAACTTCAGATTGCCTTCCATGTTAAGAAAATCTTTGTACAGAATACCAGTGAAGGAAATTAACATGTGAGGATGGTTAGGTTAATTAAACCTGTTTCAACCCAGTGTGTAACCTTTCTTGCAAAGATTTCACACTGTTTAGACAAAAGTACATGCACACACACCCTGTTATTCACTAGAGATGAAAAGAATTACGCCAAGCCTATTTGGCTTCAACTTTTAAGTGCAGACATTTAAAATATCCCAAGAATTAGTTTCAAACAGAATGATGAATCCACACTTTGAAGAAGCTTGTCAAGGTTTTCCCACTTCAGCACCACCAAGCCCCTACCTAGTTCCCACTTCTTGCCAAGAGAGGCCAGTGTGTTAGGCTTTTATTTTTATTGGATGAAAGTGGGTTAAAGGGACTTCTTTTCCTTGTGAAGCTAAGATAGGAACTGGAGGGGTCAACGAGTTAAGTAATCAATATAGAATAGGTGTCAGGTATCAGTGAATGAGTATGGAAGCACTTTTGTTCTGCATTCGACAGAGCAATTGCTTTTGTTAGAGTTCCTACAGAGCATATGATAAAACAACTTTGGTGACTTGTTGATTGACTTTGTTGATGAAACTATTAAAAACGAGTTAATTTTTGGTGTTTTAGTTCTTGCATAAGTGAACTAGGTATCAATACGACAGTGTAAAAGTCCTTTTCAACTTTAACATATTTCTATTAAATTCCTTTTAGGCGAACCAATAACTTTGAGTGCTTACTAATATTTTGGTTTCAATTGTGCTTAGGAAAAGAAGTATCAGCTGGCCAGCAATGGAAAACTGAACAGATAGATGCTATGCTCCCATCCCCACTTCCCTCTACTTTATTACTCTTTATCATTATTGGGTGGGGAAAATGCCCTTTCCTAGCTCTGTTTACTCACCCTGGCTTCTTCCTGTCCCCTTGCTCACTCCCGCTCCGGGAAGGAAGAGCCACTTAACTGATGGGAAGGAGTTGGGTATGTCTGTGTTGTTCTTATTCCCTTCTTTTATGGGATCCACCTCCTACAGGAAGAGCACGTTCTCTGTACTTTTCCACACTCTAAGTTGCACAGTAGCAGCCTGTTGTGTGTGTGTTGTTGGTGGGGGTTTCTTGTTCCATGTTGTCTATCCCCGGGTTGGTAAGTCTAGCCAACTCAGGGTGTGGCATTAGCAGGCCTACTGATTCTCAGCTGATCCTCTCCTCCGGTATAGCACTAGCAAAAATGAAGGTGGCACTTTGATCTGTTTCAGTCCTGGGTCACTCTCTCATTTGGTTTTAAACTTGTGTGGCTACCACCTCACACGCTCAAGGATGCCTATGATCTGAACGATGGACAGTAGTATGTGCTGGTGAGGATGTGGAGAAGTAGAACCCTCACAGACTTCTGGCGGGAATGTAAAATGGCGGAGCTGCTTTGGAAGACACTTGGGCAGTTCCTCAAAAAGTTAAGCATACAGTTACCTTATGACCCAGGTGTTCTACTCCTGGGTAGATATCCAACATATGTTTAAGCAAAAACTTGTACATAGATGTTCACAGCAGCATTATTCATAATTATCAAAAAAGTGGAAACAACCCAAATGGCCATCAATCGATGAATAAATAAGATGTGATATATCCACACAGGGGAATATTATTCAGTCATAACAAGTAAGGAAGTACTAATGCATGGTACAACGTGGATAAATCTTTCAACATTATGCTAAGTCAGAGAAGCCAGTCACAAAGGTCCATATATTGTATGATTCCATTTGTTGAAAATGTCCAGAATAGGCAAATACATGGAGACCAAAGCAGGGTACGGTTTGGTTGCCAGGGGCTGGGGGTGAGGAGGAATGGGAAATGACTGCTCATGGGTGCAGGGTTTTCTTTTGAGGTGATGAAAGCATTCTGGAATTAGTGGTGATGATAGCACACCCCTGTGAATAGACTAAAAACCACTGCATTACACTCTTGACAAGGGTGAATCTTATGGCTTGTCACTTTTATCTTTTTTTTTTCTTTTAAAGATTTTATTTATTTGACAGAGGGAGACACAGTGAGAGAGGGAACAGAAGCAGGGGGAGTGGGAGAGGGAGAAGCAGGCTTCCCGCCGAGCAGGGAGCCCGATGCGGGGCTTGATCCCGGGACCCAGGGGTCATGACCTGAGCCGAAGGCAGACGCTTAACGACTGAGCCACCCAGGTGCCCCGGCTTGTCACTTATATCTTAAAGGAAAAATAAACCCTCAGGTGGGTTTATTTACCCACCTTCTCAACAAACATGAATCCTTTGCTCCTTTCAGACTGGTCTTGTCACTGAGGCTCATGAATAAGTCATTTGTATTGTTAAACAGATAACTGATTCAGCTTACTATGATCTAGTCCCTGTTTTGGTACTGGGTGTACATCAGTGAACCAAGCAGATAAAAATCCCTGTCTTTGTTCTTTGCTTTATCACCATAATCACATCACTCTCCTAGAAGTTTTCTTACTTTTTTTTTTTTTTAAATCGAATCATCACCATGGCTCAGTTCAAGCTCACTCCTTCCGTGAACTGTTCTTGGCAGGGATTGCTGTTGGAGGAAATGGGCCTCTGTGGGCATGGCTCCTGGTTGGGAAATTAAAAAAAAAAAAAAAAAAAAAAAAATCAAGA